CCCTAGCCACTTTCCCCACTTCCGCGGGGGAGCGGCACACCGCCGGCCGGCTCTCTCGGGGGCTGCACAGGTGTTCCTTCAGGTAGATGTTCCTGTTAGATGTTCCTGGTGCATGTTGTCTCTCTCCTCCTTTATAGTCCTCTTCCACCAATCCCAACTCTGCTACCCACACGCCGAGTACACTGCTCTCCTCCAATCAGGAGCAGCTCCTGCTGTTTATTGGTTGAACTGGAGGCAGCTGTGTAGAAGCTGTTTTCTCCTCTCCCAGCGCCATATTGTGGGAGAGCAGATGCATAGAATAAGTCTTAATTCCAGTAATTTAGTCTAGTCCGAGTTGCTCCCCACAGGTAACGTAAAAGGATTAAAGGAATTGAAGACACAATCAATGTGAAGAATTGAGTCATACTTGAGAAGCAAAGATAAAGATTGCTATGGCCAGAGGAAGGAATTTCCAAATTCAGGATTTTAGAACTGAGGCAATTTCGAGTGATCCTTGTTTTTGTACCTTTACTTGAAGTGTCATTGTCACATTATCTAGCTGTTCTACTTTACTTAGTAACAATGGAAGAATGGGGGAGGGGATTGAGGATCTTTCCTCAAATCACTCCATGACTCAGTGGCAGAGCAGGAACTGAACCTACAATCTTCTGAGGAGCATTTTGAAAGGTTAAATAGGGGCCAGCATTGTGTCCCGGATGCTCCACTCCCTATCCAGCTCCCTTCCAAAGGCCTGGGGAAAACAGCAGAGCATGACTTAAATGCTTGGGCTCCTGCCACCCACTCAGAAAACCAGGCTGAAGCTCCTGGCTCTAGGCTTAGACCTGGCTCAGTCCTGGGCCATTGTGACCACTTGGAATGAACCAGTAGATGGAAGATCTCTCTGTCTCTTCCTTTCTCTGGAACTCTGACTTTTAAATAAATAAGTCTTAGAAAATGGAAGGAAGGAAGGAAGGAAGGAAGGAAGGAAGGAAGGAAGGAAGGAAGGAAGGAAATAGGAAGGAAGACAGGAAATAGGAAGAAAGGAAGGAAGGAGGGAGGGAAGGATATAAGAAGGGAGGGAGAGAGGGAGGAAGGGAGGGAGAAAGGAAGGGAAAATAAATGACAAGTCATAGTGTGGCCCCTTGGAGGAATGAACAGATGGAACATTCTTTCTCTTTCATTCTCTCTCTCTCTCTCCCTCCCTCTCTGTCCCTCCCTCTCTTTCTGTAACTCTTTCAAATAAACAAATCTTCAAAACACAACAAAAAAAGGTTAAATAAATGACAAGTCATAGTTCCCTAAAAACAGTAACATATAATCTAGTGAATGGAAACTAATGGTTGCCCAAATGAAGAAACAGTATAGTATACAAAAATTGCCTTTTTAAACTTGTGTTATGCTATGCCTCTTTCTTTACTGTTTTAGCTTCTTAAAGAAGAGAGAATATAAAAGTTTTCTCCAGATTAAACAATAGTTCCTTCCTTGATGTACACTGAGAAAATTTTAAGCCTAGAGGAATAGGTGACTAGCTGCCATGCTAAACTGAATTGTGAATAATCTCAAACTATGATTTCAGAGTGTATGCTCATTATGATACATGGGTTTCACCATTATAGTTCCTTCCACATTTCTTATATTTTGAAAAAATTCCTTTCTGCTGATATTGGTATGTATTTTTAATATTTTTTAAAGATCTGTTTATTTATTTGAAAGGTAAAATTACAGAAGCAGAGAGAGAGAAGGAGAGAGAGAGATAGGTCTTCCATCCGCTGGTTCACTCCTCAAATGGTAGCAGTGGCCAGAGCTGGGCTGATCTGAAGCCAGGAGCCAGGAGCTTCTTCCTGGTCTACCACACGGGTGCAGTGGTCCAAGGACCTAGGACATTTTCTACTGCCCTCCCATGCCATAGCAGAAAGCTAGTTCAGAAGTGGAGCAGCTAGGACACCAACTGGCACCCATATGGGATGCCAGCATTGAAGGCCATGGTTCTAACTGCCATGCCACAGCACCTGCCCCTATGTTTTTAATTCTGAACAGTGGTCAAAAGTAATTGGGAAGGCTAGCGATAGGAAGGCAAGTATATCATTTTGAAGTGCTGTTTAAACAGATTAACCCAACAGAAATTCTCCATTATTTCAAATCTTAGTACCCATCCCTCCTTTGACCTTCAGGGAAAGCTACCAATTTAAACATAGAAAAAGAAATTAAAGATTTGCATTTGGTAGTCTTTTGTTAATATGCATATCTCATATTTCACCTTGAAAATATTGTTCTTCCTTAAACCTTTATGTGGGTCATCAAATTTGGGAAAACTCACCTTGATTGACCATAAATTCAAATGTTTAATTTCAAAGTTTCAGTTCAGAGAGTTGGTTATTCCTCTCAAGTAATGGCTCACTGAGGGGGCAGAGGAAGTTGTTTTCCTGGACTAAAAGCCCTATATGATTACTGATTCTGTTTAGAATCATTGGTGCACAATGAAGAGCAAACTGGATTTTGGTCAGTGTCATTAATATCCTTAGACTTTTTGCAGACAATGCATTTGCTCACTGCTTATTCCTGGGAGAGATAATTTCTACTCAACCCCCTATCTCATTTCAAGTTCTTTCCTCTTGAGTTGAGACTAAAATGGTATTGGAAAAAGATGATTTTATGATCTAAACCAGCTAGGAACAAACTATATAGCATGAAGGCTTAATCTGGCCCTCTGCTTGTTTCTGGAAATCAAGCTTGTTAGTTAACTACATTTGTCTAATATATTGCCCACAGATGCTTCTGCACTACAAGGACAGAGTTGAGCACTTTGAACAGAGACCTTATGACCTTGTAAGCCTAAGTATTTACTGTCAGGCCCTGACCTTTGATCTAAATACTTAGGACAAGTCCCTCGAAGTACAGGCAATAAAAGCAAAACTAAAGAAATGGAACTATGTCAAACTCAGAAGCTTTTGCACAACAAGGGGAATAATCAATAGAGTGAAGAGACATCCAATAGAATGGAAAAAATATTTGCAAACTACCTAACTAAGGATTAATATCCCAAATACACCAGCAACTTAAAAAACTCAACAACAACAAACATCCAGTTGAGAAATGGGCAAAAGACATCAATAGACAGTTCTCAAAAAAAGAAATACAGCCGGCGCCGTGGCTCACTAGGCTAATCCTCCGCCTTGCGGCGCCGGCACACTGGGTTCTGGTCCCGGTCGGGGCGCTGGATTCTGTCCCGGTTCACCCTCTTCAGGCCAGCTCTCTGCTGTGGCAAGGGAGTGCAGTGGAGGATGGCCCAGGTGCTTGGGCCCTGCACCCCATGGGAGACCAAGATAAGTACCTGGCTCCTGCCATCGGATCAGCGCTGTGTGCAGGCCACAGCGTGCCGGCCGTGGCAGCCACTGGAGGGTGAACCAAGGGCAAAGGAAGACCTTTCTCTCTCTCTCTCTCTCACTGTCCACTCTGCCTGTCTAAAAATGAAAAAAAAAAAAAAAGAAGAAGAAGAAATACAAATGGCCAACAAACATATGAAAAAAATGCTCAACATCATTAGCCATCAGGGAAATGAAGATCAAAACCACAATGATATACCACCTCACCCTTGTCTGAATCATTGAAATCCAAAACACACAAAGTAACAAATGCTGGCAAGGGTGTGGAGAAAGGGGAACACTTATACGCTGTTTGTGGGAATGTACATTAGTGCAGCCACTGTGGAAAACAGTGTGGAGATTTCTTAAAAAGCTAGAAATAGACTTGCCATATGATCCAGCAATCGCACTGCTGGGCATACACCTAAAAGACCTGAACACAATGAATCAGAGATACCTGCACCACCATTTTTACAGTAGTACTGTTCACAATAGCCAAAATTTGGAATCAACCAAGGTGTCCATCATCAGATGAATGGATAAAGAAAATATGGTGTATATACACAGTGAAATACCATTCAGCTATTTAAAAAAAGAATGAAATTCTACCACTTGCAGCTAAGTGGACACAATTGGAGGACATTATGTTGACTGAAATAAGCCGGACCTCAAAGAACAAATACCACATGTTCTCCTTTATATATGGGAGCTAGAATTTAGAAGTAAACAAAAAAGAAATATCTGTATGTATCACTAATGCTGCAAATATAGATTTGTAAAATTTTGTTTTAGACCTTTGTCAAAACGATGATTAAGAATGTTATACTACTATAGTTTTAATGATCTGTGATTACTTTAAAATTTACTATATATGGATGAAATGGTCATTTTTCCATTCACTTATTGTTTATAGCGATTGTCTATATTCCCACTAAACTAGGGTATTTTTACTATTTATTTGTAAAACTTCTTATTTGGAGAAGTTATATTTTAAAGATTTATTTTATTTATTTGAAAGATAGAGTTACAGAGAGAGGTAGATACAGAGAGGTCTTCTGTCTGCTGGTTCACTCCCCAGATGGCCACAATGGCCGGAACTGTGCCAATCCGAAGCCAGAAGCCAGGAACCAGGAGCTTCTTCCGGGTCTCCCACATTGGTACAGGGGCCCAAGGACTTGGGCCATCTCCTACTGCTATCCCAGGCCATAGCAGAGAGCTGAATCAGAAGAGGAGCAGCCAGGACTAGAACCGGCGCCCATATGGGATGCTGGCACTTCAGACCAGGGCTTTAACCTGCTGCACCACAGCACCGGCCCCTATATTTGATGAAGTATTAAGCCTTTTTACTGTAATGTAAATTTAAAATATGTTATCTCAAAAACAAACAAAAAAAATAGAGAAACGGAGAAGGAAGGAAGGTGGAAGGAAGACAGGGGGAAGGAGGGAGGGAGGAAAGGAATTGAATTTGATGAAAATAATTAAATATTAAAATCAAGAAATACTTAGAACAAGAATCAAAGCACTACTTGCTTGGTGGATGTGTAAAGATGACAATTGTCTCACAACATATCATAGTCCAGTAGTTTAATAAATGTCTTTGTTAAATGTTTACTGTTGACTACTATTATATTTACCTTGTAATTTTTCTCTCTTTTGTAGTCCCTGCTATGTGGATATTTGTTAGCAATGACTGATGTGGAAACTACATATGCAGATTTCATTGCTTCAGGAAGAACAGGTAGAAGAAATGCAATACATGATATCCTGGTTTCCTCTGCAAGTGGCAACAGCAATGAATTAGCCTTGAAATTAGCAGGTCTTGATATCAACAAGACAGGTGAGTCATTTGACACACATTTCTCTATCAACATAGAATGATTTGCAGCATTTCACTAAGATCAAGGCACAAAAAGCCAGCTTTGAAAGTAACCACATGACAAGAGTTATAAAAAGTATAGGGCCAGATGAAAGTCTGTGACTAATCTCTTCATCACTCCCACTCTGTTTTCAATGAATTCTCTTTATAGGGTTTTCCACTCAAATGTTGAATCTTTAACGATTTTTTAAATCCTAATGACTTAAGAGCTTTGAAATCGCTTATACAGAATATTTAAGTTGGAGCTCCTACTCTTGACAATATTAGTTACTTCTAATGTCTAACGGGTAAATATTAAAGAAGCTTCACTGGTGAGTCTGACACACCTTAATTCTAATAAAGATTTCAGGGCCGGCGCCACGGCTCAATAGGCTAATCCTCCACCTAGCAGCACCGGCACACCGGGTTCTAGTCCCGGTCAGGGCGCCGGATTCTTTTCCGGTTGCCCCTCTTCCAGGCCAGCTCTCTGCTGTGGCCCGGGAGTGCAGTGGAGCATGGCCCAAGTGCTTGGGCCCTGCACCCCATGGGAGACCAGGAGAAGCACCTGGCTCCTGGCTTCTGATCAGCGCAGTGTGCCGGCCGCAGCGCGCAGGCCATGGCGGCCATTGGAGGGTGGACCAACGGCAAAAACTTTCTCTCTCTCTCTCACTATCCACTCTGCCTGTCAAAAAAAAAAAAAAGATTTCAGAAGAAACTGGTCTCTAGGACTAATTGCACTGAGAATTGAGGTGAAATAATCTGTTAAATAAGTTCCAGGTAAAGAGGTCTTTTAGCTTTCCTTTCATGATACAAATGATTTGTGAAATTTTCCTCTTCTTACTGTGCCTGGAATTCTTACTCAAGGAGTCTGACTTTACTAGTAAAAATCAAAAACAAGTTTTATACTCTAAAATATTTGACCACCTTCCTTCTGAGTGTTAGAGTAAGTCCCATGTAATCCTTTCTTCCACTGCTTTAACAATTATCAAAGTTGAATGTGTTCCCCTTCAAAATCTTATGCAAAAATAACCTTTAAAACTAGAAAGAATTCATGATTAAGGAATCATAATGTTACATACATGAGAAACAGTTATCATAGTTTGTGACTTGTCTAGTAACTATTCAATATGTCTTCACGATTAGAATTTTATGGCAAACACTTCAGTTTACTGGAAAATTGAATCAGGGTATATATACAAGTACATTATTGAAAAAAAACCAGCACATTACCTTAAAATACCATAAGGATGCATTTTATTTGGTGACTAAAGGGCAGTATGTCACTGATTGGTAATTTAATATTCAGATTAATAATAAAACTATAATCTCACCACTTTAAAATATTTGCACCTATTTGTCCTTCAGGTTTCATTGTTCTCTTTTGTTATAGTCAGTAGTCACTTCCCAAGTAGCTCTGAGAAAGATTAGAAGAAATTGTTCTGATTTCATGACATGGGATGGGTAAATATACATTTTATTCAGCCTTTGAAACTTGGCTAATTCATTTCATATGATTTCTAAAAAAATTTTACCTTAATATGCTATTTTGAATAATCTATATTAATTTTGTTCATCTTTAATATTAGGATATTTTTAATTCATCATGTAATTTAATTTCTCCTTTTTCCATTCTACTTGAAGTTGAGCATTCTTAGCCCCAAGACCTTTCTTACATTAGAGAAAATATTTACTATATAATTATTATCAATAACCTAAATAATAAATTAATATTTCATTTTAATAATTATGAAAAATAAAATAACCTTATATTTTAACTAAGTATATTATAATTAAATAATTTAGACTAATTCAGATATCTTTGTGCTTCCAAATGTCTTTTCTAAACATTTCTTCATGTTAATTGCCATCTTCTAGACTTTTGAAAAATTTTCTCTTTCAATCAAAATTCATAAGTAGGCAAAATATAAATAGCATTGACTCTGTTATTCTAATATACAAATAACTAAAATAAAAATTACACCATGTGAAAGTCTAAAATGTAAAAAATCATTAATGTAAAACAGCATATTTAACATTGCTGCCTGAGAATTGGAAGGAGCTTCCTCTTGTAGCTCCTAAATTTCAGTTTCATTTTAGTTTATACTCAACAATTTTGCTGCTTCATGTTTTCCTTTTGACTTGTTAACAAGTTCTATTTCTCAACAGCTCTGTTTGCAGCATAAATCTAAGCCCTAAGAAGTGCCACACGATACCTAGAAAATCCCAATCCCCACTGGAGTCAAATTCCTCATCTTATATTTATGTATTCACTCTCATCCTTAAATATTCTGCTGTCTTACATTTGCCCTAATTTGACTCCATTCCCTCAGTTACCAAGATCTTCTCCTATTTCACAAATTCTTGCTGAATGGTAATCCACATATCTCAGATTCAGACCATCTACACATCTTGGGAGACTGACCATTTTTCTAATAATAAAAGCAGTATATGAAAATAATACATAATGCCTGTTTATATCTTTGAAACCTCTTTAGGACAGTATATGATTTTTATATGAAAGAAATGCTTTGAATCTTCCTAAAGATTTCCTGTTTTGGGAGTATGGTCAGATGTCTGGTGTATACTTGTTAAGAGTACTGTTTTTCAACATTATGATCCAAACAAAAAATCAACCCATTTATTTCCAGCCATGGGAATTATGATCACAAACTCTTAGCAAATATTGGTATAATATTTATTATTGCAACACCCCAAAATATTTTGTCCACCAAGACATATTGGTTGCCTAGGAACCAAATAGCAATGAAAAATTTTTAATCTTTGAGTCAAGGATTGCCTACAGCTTGTTCTCTTATAAAGTGACCTAATAGAGAGTAGAAGCATTGTTCAGTTTCAGTGTATGCTATGTGGATAAGATTGCTGCTGAGGTTGTAGTTCTGAGTAAAAGGTAGAATTATTGGAATTGTACATATATTCTCTAAGGTCAGACCAGACACCATTGTAACTGTTTGATAAGGGATTATTCAGCTTACAATATGTCCTTCATATTCCACTACTGCTTTTAATTTGAACTAATATAACCTCTGAGCAGTCAGCTGTTTATCATCAAGTGTTATACATAATGGAAAATGCAGTTTAAAAATATTTTTTCAAGTAAGCTAGAGAAAAAAAGATGGTTTCTCTCACTTCTGATTTCTATTAAAGATACTTCTGATTTCTGTAACCTGTTACACTATACACTGGTGATGAGATTTCCTAGCTATTTGTCAAAAGTATAGCTAATCACTAACAATTGTGAAAATTAAAATGTTATTTTGTCCCAAGTTCATGATATCCCAGGTTCATAAGGTCCCAAGTTAACAGAATTAGCCAGGCCTTGAAAACTTCAGCTATTTTCTTGATGGTCTCTATGAGGATTTTAGACTTCCCGAGTAAGGCTCAAGATACTGAGATCCAGTAATAAAAGTGATAGATTTTATTTTGCCCTTACCCTCTTTTTCATTTTCTCTTACAGAAGGTGAAGAAGATGCACAGCGAAGTTCAACAGAACAAAGTGGGGAAGCCCAAGGGGAAGCAGCAAAATCTGAAAGCTAATGCCCCACTTTGACCTTCAGCAACACCTGACAATGTCTCACATGTCCAGAAATGGCTGGAATGCATTTGTTTCCATGAGTGAAAAGGGGAAAAAGAAAATGGCTGTGCTGCATCCCAGGAGCCCGCTCATTATGTTAAAAATGGGGGCAGAGGCTGTGGCTGCAGACAGACTTTTCTCTACCTCTGTCATTAGCAATGGTTGAAATCATGTGGCTTGTGTTTGGACATCATTTTCAGATGGATCCTTTCACCTGACCATATGATGAAATGCTTGTAGAGAGTAGCACTGACCTAGATGATGATTCTTCCTGTAGCATCTGGCCCCTCACAATGTCAGAGGATTTAATTGTGTCTAATTGCAAAGGGTTGGTTGAAACCCAGAGTTTATATATCTCTGGCTCAAGTATTCACCCAGTAAATGAACCATCCAGAAAGCACTGTTTTTAGCATTGTGTATCCGTGTGTTACTGCTATGTTATTGACACTGTTTTGTATTGTACAATATAGATGCTCAGCACTGCCCCCTTTGAATGCTTATGAAAAACAAAAATTATGTACATTACTGTGAATTTTTATACCACTCATTTTTAAAAGGGCTGCATTTTTATTTTAATTTTTCATAGTGTGTTGGTGTACACAGGATAGGACACACTTTTTTAACCATAATCTTTCTCTTTGATCACTGTATACTGATGAATTGATTAAGCCTAAGACTCCTTTGCTTTATTACACAGTATTTGAAAATATCCATTAATGTGAATTTTACCAAAAAATCAATCTGTTGAGTGTCTGCACAGAGCAGAATTCAATTTGTGAATTTTGTTTTATTTTCAAGAGGAGAAACGTCTCTCAACTAATATTTTTAATTTTTAATTAGGAGAATTTTAAAGATTTGGGAAGATAGAAAAGAAAACCCTAGATAATGCTACGAACTAGAAATATTTTGTTCTGTGGAAACAAATTTCTCAAATGCTATATGTTCCCGTTTAAAGTTGAGAGACATCTCATCTTCACCAGGCTAAGACAGAGAACATGATCTCCTTGCAATCATGTGGACACCAATCACAAATGTAAAGCCCTCGTGTTGTGATTTTCATGGTTTTTTTTTTTTCAGCCCTAACAGATCCAAATGTTATTATGCACTTTTTAATGTTTGTAAACTTTTATTAATAATTAGTGTGAATTGCATTCTGATACAATAATAATTACCATCCTTAGAAATTTACAAAATCTTCATTGATACTGTTGGTGGCCTCTGCTGTTTTTTGACATCATAATACTTGTGTGGAATGTTGCCGTGAGCTGTGGAATCCCTCTGGTCAGTATTATGAAATCATTTGTTAGTTGTAATAAATAAGGAACCAGTAGTATGCCAGTGGTTCATGCATTACTGGACAAAAAGCCAACAATAGGAAATCCCTTAGCTGTCCTTCACGGGTTTGATACAATTCCAGATGAAACTGCATTTCAGCAGGTGATCTTATGGTTCTGCCAGGAAATCAGCTCTTCTTTAAATTTACAGACAAGATGAAGCTAAGTCTTCTCATAGCTCCCTTTGCAGTACTTTTCTACTACTGGGATAGGAATATGGGTCTCATTTGACTTTTAAACAGCTGTATTAGGGAAGAAAATTAGCAATGTCTTTCTGAGAACAGAAAGAGGACAGATTAAATTTTAGAGGACTTCTATCCAACCCATAAAGGGTCAAAATGTCCAGCTAATATCCAAGCAAATCTACTTACTAATAGACTCACAGATGTGAAAAGATGTTCCTGGGGCCTAGACAATCTAAAACATACTGCCTATATAATCACTTTTCAACATCCTCATTAACTATCTCCATAGCTTTCTTGTGAATCTAAAGTTTTCATCTTCCTTAAAGTTGTGGAATTTTAAACTGATTTCCTGTGATTTTGTAAAGTTTAGAATCAGTGCTGAGTATATGTGGAGGGTTTATATTCCTATGTGATATACTATATTAATGCATGTGGTGCCATGCTTGTCTTTGAATACATAAATAGTGCTAAATTGTGAATTTGTATGGAGCTTTTGATTTAGTTTGACCTCTTACTGCTACTTTGTCTGCTATATTCAATCCCAATCTGGGAAGGCAATGTCAAATCTGTGAAGGCATTCTCAAGCTTGGAAGGTAAATACTGACTTTCCAATACATCCACATTTTATAAATTTTGTTTAGCAAAAGTTCACAGTCTTTCTAATTTTATTTTAACATCTTGTACTTGCAAGTCAATAATACACATGGATCTAAATTTTTAAGGAGGAAAAGAAAGGGTAGAGAACAAAGGCATTGGTTTGATAATAGGCACTGGATGCCAATACCATCCCAATGCCAATGCTATCCCAATGCCAATGCTAATCACTTTGCAGCACATACTCATTTAATTTTCTCGCAAATCAATTAAAGAGATATTGTTATCCCACTCCACAGATTAGGAAATTAACACTCAGTAGAGAATAATTTTTCCAAGTTTAAAAACATAAAAGTGATGGAATTAAGATTTGAATCCATGTTTGTCTGTTTCCAAGGAGCTCTTTACTGCCATAGAATTAAAGGCAATTTTTGGAACTTTCAGAGATGACTTTGCTCAGCTTCCATATCTTAGAGAAGGAAACTGGGGCCCAGAAAGAAAAATTGCCTTTCTCAAGGTACTTAGGTGGATAATGATATAAATGTGAGTAGATCATAGAAAGTATACTTTAAAAAAAAAAACCAAAAAATCTGATTATTTCTTATTTGGGAGACTATACCTTGCAGAAGAAATTTTTCTATTAGGAAAGCTACAAACTTACCATGATTCATATTTCTCTTTTTCTTCCATTCTATTTATTTTCATTTAACAAAATACATTAAGATTTTGGCTATTTGATTCATTTGCAACTAGTGTAAACTCGTCAGCTTTATCAATTGTAAGCATCTAATGCCAATGTACTGCTCTCGTAAATTCATAAAAATATTTTTCCAATAGGTAACAGATAGTGCAGCATCCAACTTTTAGGTGGTACTTCTTACTTAGAGACGATGGTAATGCACCCTTTTGGAAGATAATTATATTGCTATTATAGAGAATCAGTAATGGGTAAACAAATGTAACTGCTGAGCAACAAAACTGTTGAGTGACACCACAGTAATAGTAGGGAGGAAATGTATAATTATCCAGGAAAGACAGGAAAGGATCTATAATTTATGATGTCTTAATAGACTCTACATTGTTCTTTAATTAAGAGTGGCAGTCTCTGAACTCATTTGTGAGCCTGTATGACATGTATTTAGCAACGTTGCATGCTCACATAATTGATATTAAAAGCAACAAAATTTTTCTGAAATTTTCACAGTCTATTAAGAGTATTTATTGAACACACACTATAACTTGGTGCTAGTAAATGCGATGGAGAAAATAAAGGAGAAATCCAAAGCTTCAGCCATCCTGTGGTGGATGTACCCAGTGCTCCAGCTCCCCTTTTCCAGGTTTTACTCCATTAATTTTCACCTCTATTTCATTCTAGTAGCCCACTTCCTGGATGTTATCAACCAGAACCATTCCACATCATAAATCGTAGACCCCAGTATCACAAATTTATTTCTTACTTGCTTACCTGCAGAAAGGTGATGTCCAATAAGGAGAAAGACAGGCATTTATCAGAATCTCCAGTCAACATCAGCCCCTAACATTCAGAGATACATTCATACATATTCTTTGCAGAATCACAATCAATCAAACCACCTCCTTTTCTTTACTTCTGGGTAACTGCAAAATTTTGTAATAATGTTTATTCATTGTTTGAAATATCAGTTTAGATATAAATTCTACACAGCTCGCTCTCTTTCCATGTCCCTGGGGGACAGAGGAAGCATCCTTTGTTGAGGTTTTTTTAAACAATTTTCTTTGAGCTTAACAAGAGGTCTGTTAATTTTATGGAGTCTATGTATCCCAAGAGAAAGTCATTTTTCTCTATGGATGAGAACCTGCCATGATGTATGGATCTGTATTATGTAACTACAATCTCCCCATTACATTTGTTTGCTACATCCTCAGATCCTACAATGCTCATTTTTTCATAAATATGGGCATTCCACCTGGAAACTGGACATCCAGAGATATGTGGACAAGATAATCCTTTATATAGTTACATATAGTTATATATATATATAATAGTGATATAGTTCTGTGTTCCATTATACTCTGACATGACTGTCAATAATATCACTAATTCTGAACCTTAGTCATATATAAGCAAATGCCAGTCCAACTGCATTCTCTGAATTAGACATAAACAAATATACCAATTCCAACTGACAAATATAAGAGATAATTTATGTATGTCTTATTAGTTTACTCAGTGGTATTTATCCTGGCTTACCATGGAATTTTTTTATACTTCATTTGTTTTCCTTTTCTTCAAAAAAAGTTTTCATTAATTAGTTTGTTTGTTGTTCCTTTCTCTCTGATTACTCTTCACCCTCATCCTTCTCTACAATCCCACCACATATCATGGATCCCAGGGATTCCATCCTTTGCCCTCTAATCCTTCTCTTCCCTCTTCCACTCTGATATCATTAACCACCACATTTACAATGCTGAATCTCATATATCTTCATCTCCACCTCACAAGTTAATCCTGATCACCCTCCCCATTGGAGAATTAAACCTGGATTTCCCAACAGCATGTTGAATTTAAACATTTTAACACTAAATCCACAATATGATTTCATTTCCAAATTTGCTTTTTCTCATATGCTATAGAAATCATACAATGGTAGCAATGGATTACCAGCAAACTTAAATCAAGATTCCTAAAATTCTCTTAACTTTTCCCTCTTCCCCAATTTGTTTTTTATTTCATCTATTCTAATTCCTCACTATTTCCTGAAACTTCCCATTTCTTTTTGTCTGTAGTTCAACCCATTCAACTGCTTTTCTAACACAATGCAATGGCCAGCTCAGGACCTGCTTGTCTAACAATCTTCCCATCTATCTTTTTTTGACAGATAGAGTGGACAGTGAGAGAGAGAGAGAGACAGAGAGAAAGGTTTTCCTTTTGCCGTTGGTTCACCCTCCAATGGCCGCCACAGCTGGCGTGCTGTGCTGATCCGAAGCCAGGAGCCAGGTGCTTCTCCTGGTCTCTCATGCGGGTGCAGGGCCCAAGCACTTGGGCCATCCTCCACTGCACTCCCAGGCCACGGCAGAGAGCTGGCCTGGAAGAGGGGCAACCGGGACAGAATCCAGTGCCCCGACCAGGACTAGAACCTGGTGTGCCGGCGACGCAAGGCGGAGGATTAGCCTAGTGAGCCGCGGGGCCGGCCCCCAACTATCTTGCAACCAGATGCATCTTTCTAATGCATGAATCTGATCATGTCATGACTGTAATTAAAAAAAAAAGAAAAAAGCAAAAACACACACACACACAAAGAAAAACTTTGCTTAGTCAGGCAAAGTCTATTGTTGGTATAAGTACTACATTTTACTTTTATATAGCTTTTTCTCTGTTAGCTTTTTTTTTTTTTTTTTTTTCTGTTCTGAAAATGTTCTTCATGGTTGCTGGCAAATTCTCACTGATCCTTTTAGGCTATGTGCAATGCACTATTTTCTTCAGAGCTTTTTTGACTTGCAAGTCCATTCCCAAACCCCAGCCTAGGAAGTGAGCTCTTCCATATTCCTTGATTCCCAAGATTACAGATGATTTCACTAAATCATAGCTAATTGTTCCCATGCATCTCTCTCTAGCTACAGTAGGTCCTTTGAAGACATTTGCTTTCTTTTATTCATCTTTATATCCTTATTGTTTATAGACCATAAATATTTGTAAGTAAATGATGTCTACTCTGAAACCCACAAGATAACTGGCACAGAATTTACACATAAATCATTTAGGGAAAAAGGCAACTCAGAGACAAAGTTGGTGGTGGAAAATAATGAAATCTGTGGAAAAACACATTACAGAAAATAAAATCTTCTGTAATCTGTCTGTCATTCCTTTTTCCAGTTTATACAATAGAATAACTATTTTTTAATAATTATTTATTTGAAAGACAGTTACAGAGAGAGGTAGAGACAGAGAGAGGTCTTCCATCCGCTGGTTCACTCCCCAAATGGCTCCAGTAGCCGGAGCCATGCCGATCCGAAGCCAGGAGCCAGGAGTTTCTTTCGGGTCTCCCGTGCAGGTGCAGGGGCCCAAGTACTTGGGCCATCTTCTACTGCTATCCCAGGCCATAGCAGAGAGCTGGATGGGAAGAGGAGCAGCCAGGATTAGAACTGGCACCCATATGGGATGCCAGCACTTCAGGCCAAGGTGTTAACCCGCTGCACCACAGTGCCGGCCCCAGAATAACTATTTTTAAATATGTACCTCAAACTATAATGTATGTACACACACATACTCACAGATTTGATTTGACTTACAGAGATAAGATGTCTAATAGGACAATGAATAGATAAATAGCAAAGTAGGATAAGCCATTCAGCTAAATAATGATCCTGGTAAAGGTATTTCTGGACACTAGCATGAATACTTTCCAGTGTGTCAGATTCAAGATTAGCCCAAAAAAGAAGGGTGCATGCTACAATCTTGGCCTAAGGAACACCAGTGTTCCTAGATCTCTAGGAATTTCTAAGAATATGCTTTACAAAAATGATGGTTCTGATAAGAGTATGATAAACCTCAATGGCAAGGATTCATAAGAAGAAAGGAAGTAGAGGTTAAAAATAGAAAGTGAATACAGATTTACAAATTCAAGAAAGCACGTTGATATATGTATAGACTTCTAAAGTCTTCTTCCTGAATATTGTTGTCTTTTAGAAAACACTGGTAATCAAATTAACACTGTACATTTAACAAGACTAAAGAATTATACTTTAGAATAATGAGCCTAAAAGTATGCTTTTAGATGCTGAAACTAAGAAATAAGACTGGCTAAAATACTGTGGTAACAGAATTCATCTTTGTGCTTTAGCTGCCATGCCTCATTTTACACATTATTTGATGATGGTGTGACTATTAGAACTCTTATAATGAAGT